AATGTTTCCTTAAAGTGAAAAATTCCCAAATTTGGAGAGAAACATTTGATATTTTGGTTTAATGCCTTGTTGATTTAGGTCATATCTTATTCTATGATTACAGATTATATTTCTTAAGATTTTCATTGAAGTATTTTGACCTGATGAAATTTTGATTCCTCAACTGAATTGAAGAATGGTACATAAAATTTCATTTTTAAGGAAATGATGTGACACAACTGCATTTTGAATGGAAGCATAGCCAAAAGGATAAAATCAACAAGTAGGTAGATTGCCCCCAGGTGCCCATTCAGAATGAAAACATTACAAAAAGTGGGTATTTCCTGAGGGGCAAAAAGGTAAGTTTTTAACGAGCTTGAGGTCTACTCTTTATATCAGCCCACCTTTCTTTAGGTTCAAAGTCCTGCCTTTTCTTTCCAAGAGCCATGTGGGTTCAGCACAACCACTCCATAAAGAGCATTTTGGAGGATGTAGCACATGTAAAGAAGTCAGTAACAAGTTAAGCCCTGGATGTCTAAAAACCCTTCCTGGGAATCTGCAAATGACACCTCCCCAGAATTCCTTTCCACAGCCTGGCTATATTTCTACAAAACCCCAGAAGTCACTTGTCCAATCTCAGGCATGAAACCCTCTTAAATTCCAGCAAATTCTGCAACTTGAATGTTAGAGAAATGATTGAAGGGAAACTTTGAGAGTAATGGTTCTCCTGAACCCAACAGGCAGAAGCCACACTTAGGGATAAGTAAAAAGATAAGGACTTTACTTCTTCATCATTTTTAGCAAATGGATTGCATAGAAAATGTTGTATATGTGCATGTGTGTGTGTTGTCTGGCAAAGAAGCATCTCTAATATGCTTTTAGATTAAGGTCCATCAATCTCTTGGGATTTTTTTCCCCCTTTTTTCCTGTTTCGTTTCATCACAGATTTAGGTTATTGCTTGCCTGTATTCAGTGCCTGAAGCATCCTTTCAGGCCCCTGGGAAATGGTGCAGCCCCACAGTGAGCAGTGCTGTGCTGTGTCTGTGCAGTGTGGGGAGGACATGGGGTGGTCGCTGTCATGCTGCTGGCTGGGGGTGACACAACCAGCCTGGTTCCATCTGAGGGGAAGAGGATGAGTATGTACCTCAGGCTTCTGCAGATCATACTCATACCTAATTTGTACAGCAGACAAAAATCCAGTAACTTCTGGACACTTTGTAAAAACACCTAGCACAGTGCAAATAATGACAACACCAAAAGCTTGCATCATAAAAATCTTTTGGGCTAAAATGGAAATAGATACTTGCAGAGTATTTTCCTTTCTTTCCTCGACATAAAGATTTGAAAGAAGGGAGAAGTATCACAAGATAGGCAATTCCTTTCAGAGAGGTTTCTTTATGTATTTCCATGTGAATGCTCTTAGTAAGAGAATCAAAAATAATGTTCTGAAATAAAATGTGTACAGAGGTAGCTTTTTTTTTGAAATGACACCCTGTTTCCCAAGAATGCTATGTAGCCTTTAGTCAGCCTTGTTTCTTACAGTTCTCTGTGCTTTGCATGGTAATTAGCTGCTCGTGTTATCAGCAGCACGGCGCTCCCGGCTGTTTCCTGAGCAGCCGCTGCCGTTATCCTCGGCGGCAGCTCCTCGCATCCTCCTGCCAGAGCGCGCTCGGCGTTCCGCGGGCTCTGCTGGGGGACCGGGCTGACGCCGCAGCATCCGAGGGGAGGAGGCTGAGCCCGCTTTCCCTGACAGGTCCCCAAGACTTGCCAGAATTTCGCTGATGGTCCGCTGGAGTTTCAGTGAGGCAAGTTTGTTATGACAGATTGCGAAACAGAAAGGGAGACAAACGAGACGGGATCATCAGTGTCAGAACAAACACAGGGGAGCAGCTTCCTCCGCTTAGCTTGCGGCAGCAGCCTCAAAATGCTTATTTGGTTTTAATTTGAATTTAAAAAACAGATAATCGAAATCGGAAAAAAATAATAACTGAAAGGTCTATTGCAGAAATGTCCTGTGGCTGTTGAGACTTTGCAGAGCCTGCCAGCAGTGCCGACATCAGCCTTACGCAGGGGCTGCGTCACACAGCCGGCACCAGCGCAAGAGTGCTCGCGTGGGGATGTCCACCCGAGCAAATAGCGTGACAAGGGCTCCGTGCTGCTTGTTCCCTGCAGCTAATGCAGTCCCTTCTTTTCATTCAGATCCCGAGAAACATTTGCCAGCCTTTAGATATACTTTTTTTTTTATTTTTCAAGTTAAAAAAAATGGTCACGAAGTTTGCCAGGTTCCATGACAGCCCATGCTCCTCTGTAACGCCAGTAGAGATGTAGTGGATGTTCTAGAAAGTTTGATACCCACAGTAGTGTTAAGATCTTTGTAAGCATTCAAAGCAAAAATAAAACAAGGCATTTATATGTGACACTTAAGAGATGAAAAAGAAAGAGGAAAATGCAGAAATTGAGGGGAGTTTCCCCAAATATTATATCAGTTTTACATATCTTGTCTTTGGCTTTGCGTTTCCAAGCTTATTTTTCACCCTTTGAAGGGCTGCGTGATGATATTGAGAGAGAGATGTCAGAACTTTTTACTTCCTGCCCAGAGAGATGATGGGCTAGAAAGAAACACTAAAGTTCTAGTTCTGGGGTAATAGAAAGCAAAATTTCTTACTGATGCGTATTTGCAGACTTACTTCACTACACTTCTAGGAGAGTTATTTAGTTTTGTAGCAGACACTTGTTCCTAATCCCAGTCTGAAATAGCCTGTTGCCAAATCCACATTCAGTATTTTTATCCCCGCAGAGAAAGAGAGATCATCTTTTTATCATATGTTCAATGTATTTTATACAGCATAAGAGCATATGGTCATCTTGTCCCTTCTTCTGTAAGATGGCAATAGACTAGAACAGAGAACTTAAGGATGGCAGTGAATTTGATGCTCTGTAAACAAGGGACTCAGGATGAAGGCTTTACACTCTGTTAGTGGGATAACAAGTGAAAAGACTGGGGCTTGGGGAAGGAAAGGGGGAAAAAATAGATGGAAACCCACAGAGAAGAGAGAAATAGCAATTATCTAATACTAATTTTTAAATTATTAAATAGACACAGATTGTTGTTTCTCTCCATATTGCTAGGTTCACTGGCAACATGAACACTTACCCTGTTCCTGTGACAGGGATATCACACATGGTGCTTTGCAGCTCCTCAGGGGCAGGGCTGAGGTTGGAACATGGCTATCTGCTCAGGGCAGCAGCTTCTCTTCAGCATTCATATACCACATATGAGTAATTCTCCAAAGTCTGACTTCACCACATGTTTAATACCTTTGCCTTTGAAATCAGGGGTGTAATTTGTAGTGAACTGTAAAGCTGATGGACTGTGTTTCACCAAGAAGAGTTAATGTGATTCATCTGTTTAACAATCAAGGGCTATATTCAGCAAAGATTTAGCAGGAGTGCAGACAATAAAGCACTTACGAATTTATATGAATTGGCATGAAGCAACAGCCACAAAAAATTAGAAAACATAAATTGTTCTTTTGCATATGCATGGCTGTTGTTCTCCTGACCTTGGTCACAGCTGGTGGGCGTTAGGCAGCTGAAGATCCAGACCTCCTCAGACCCTCAGCTCAGACTGGGGAGTGGTGGTAAAAGTGTCCAGGACTTGCACAGATTGGTCAGTGCAATCATTTGGCTTTAGTAAGCAGAGGTATCCATTTTTGAAAGCGTCTCATGATTTTTTGGGTGCACAAATACAGATGTGGTAGACAAGTCTGGTTTCCAGATGAGAAGAGCTCAGCAGTTTGGAAAAACAAATTGGTTTGATATATCTCCAGGTGCACACTTGAAAATTCAGGACATCCAGAGTATTTTTTGAAAACAAGGGAGGACCAAGCTCACCTCTCTGCTTGTTCTTTGGATACAGTAATTACCAGATAGATTATTTTCTGTCCCTCTTTCCCACATGGGAAGACCTCAAGCCCCAGTCCCCTGCTTCCTGAGTTAGTTCTGAAAAAAAAAGAAAGCCTTTTTGGGGGAGATTGTGAAGCCACATTCACCTTGAAGGGGATTGTCATTGTGGTGAATGAAATCCCCAGACAGCTCACTGGATGCAGCAGCCACCTGTATCTTGAGGAGAGTTGTAGGAGATGGGCATCTCCTTGGTATCAGTACCTCCATCCAAGTGTGCCCTCTTTTCCTGGTTGTGCTAGGCAGTACGAGCAAACTGTGGGCAGAGGGCAGGAGGAGGGAGGGGGATATGTGTCTCACGCTGCCTCGTCCTTGCTGGCAGAAGTTTGGGTCCCAGTGAACACCCAGGCTGAGCAGGTAGGTGAGGCACTGTCTGGATGGTTCCTGCAGGGGAATAGCTGCCCTGCCAAATCTCTGATTTCCCCTCTGCAGAGTAGCTCTGGAGTGAGTCATACTGCTTGGGAGAGTGGAATGGAATTCTTCTGTGCACTCAGTCCCACAGTGTATGGGTGGGCTTAGAGTCGGCGTTTTAGGAAATCACAGCTTCTCAGGACTGCTGTGCCATGCTCAATATTGCTGCCTGTGTTGCAATCTCTGCTCTCCCCTCTGTGCTATACATCCTCAGACTTTACAGAAACAGTGTCACTGCAGAGCTTTGCTGCACAAAGGATGTGGAAAAATGTTATTTATTTAATATAAATAAATGCACATTGGATCCATGTACATGCAATAACTTCTTTGCATCTGCTTACTCAAATGCAGTAGAGATAAAACTACAGGAACAGCACCCAAAAGTAGTGTGAAACAAGTCCACTGAATTTATAGAAATATGTTGCAATCATATGTAAACACTGTAAATATTGCATCTTCCTGGGGTGCTGATAGGGAATAATTTGAGAATTTTAAGCAGTGCAACTTCTCAGATGCTGGAAAGACTTGGCCTCATTTTGAAACTGTAATAGAGGTTGGAATATATTTCATGTGACAACCATGTCCTCAGACCTATTTGTTAGTTCTTTTTAAAACATAAACAAACTGTCTTCTCATTTTGTTTACAGGACAGTGGAACAGGAGATAACAGCTGCATTGAAGAAATATTGCGGGTAGGAATCCTGAAAAATCATTTTTTCCAGTCCCATTTTGTTTTCTCTAAAAAGACAAGAGAATAACAAGAATATTGCAATGACTGCTGTTAAAATATTCCTCCTTTAGATTGTCATCTTTCTAAGGAAAAAGTAGGCGAAATTATTTCCTCATGAAAAATAATTGAAAAATCTGTGAGAACAACCTTTCAAAGCCTGTGGATTTCAGTGCTACTTTATGCCTGTACAGCTGACCTTCATGCATGGAGAAGCAGATAATGGGATAAATTATAAACTGAAATGTACAATGATGTTTCAGGTTTACAAACCATGCAAAGTGCATGTTCCCATTAATCATGACTGTCAAAAATCTTAATTTTGAAGGGAGGTCTAGGAAGGTCATTTTCCACCTGGATTTAATTATGTAATGTCATTATTTTCATTATGTCCATTATATAATGACAATGTGCAAAATCTGTAGTTATTTCCATATTTCATTACTATTTATTTTATCTTAGTAATTTCTAGTTTATTTTCATAGACCAAATTAATACACATCCAGACAGATCTTGCCTTGAATCGACTGGGATATTCATCATTTTCTGTGGCAGAAAAATTTATAAACAATGAAATTTTTCTGTAATATTTTAATTCATGTGGTTATTTTGGTTCTTTTTCGAAAATGACAATTCAATAATTCACAATGCTTAAAAATCTGCTGCAATAGTGATTGAAACACAAAGCAAGGTAGATGAAATGATAAAACCTCCCTTTTACTGTATGTGTGTCTACCTCTTGGATGTTCCACCACCCAAATATTTCTGATGATTTATAAACTACTTGGTTATAAATATTTGGTTTGGAGGTTACCAGTGCATTAAGCCTGTTGTTTCTCAAGGCATTCCTCCATTCTCCCTCAATATGTTAAATGCAGCTTTTAATTCTTAAACTGGACAAAGAGTTTATCGAAAGGTGATGATGATATATTGCTTATGACTTCACTGACAGAGATTTTACTTAGCTAACATTTACAAAGTAGGCTTTGTTAGGACTCAGGTGCATAGTCGAAAACCTAAGCCACAGTCCCTGATGGTTTGCTACAAATTAGTGGCAGATACCATGAATTCATGATGTGATGTGATGCATAGACTCCCCTTTTCATGCAAGGCTTTCAAAATGAACAGTCAGAGAAACTGGTTTTCCTCCTTTAGTTTCTGTAGTTTGGCTCATGCAATTAAGCAAAAATATAGAAGAGGCACAATTCCTTCCACACAGAGAAAAATGGGTATATAAGAGACCCCATCTGGGAAAAAAAATGCACTGTATGACTGAAGATTGTAAGGTGTTTTCTCCAAAACCATGAACACAGCTGCTGCTCTCTTTTTTTTCCTTTTGGAATGTTCCTCAAGAAATACTTTAGTCAAGTTTCATGGTGGGTAACCTCTGCCTTCACCAATCTGCCCATCTTCCATGTCTGCAAACCTAGGCATCACTTTCTATTCTGAGCTTCCCTTGTGTCTCTGTGTCTAAGACTACACGTAAATCTTCCAGGCTGTTACTCTATAGTATTTCTGACTGAAGCTCTTTATTCTCAAGGGTGTAAGTCTTTGGTCCAAAATTCTCATTACACACTTTGATTGCTGCTGCATCCTTTCCTACTTTTTGACAAATGCAATGTTTCCCACCTCCATTCACGCTGCTGCGCAGATTATTTTCCTGGCTTGACATCTTGCCCAGAGACATTTGTCTTCACATCTTACCATTGTCATCTCCTTCTCTATCACATCAAGTACAGCTATTTGTCTCTGATTGTAAGGCCTCCAGTCCATGCTAACATACTAAATCCCACTTTAGCTTAGCTGGTGATGTCAAAATGTTGCTAAGTTTCACATCAATTAATTTTACCTTTTTTCCCAAGGATGGTGGAAATCCAGTGGTGAAGTCAGAGCTCTACCACTGTTTCTCATGCCTGAACATTTTTGTCCCAATTGTTTCCTGTAGTACTCTGTCAGGTCAGATATATCCATCTGCTCTCTTTTGTACCGAAAAGTGGATTTTCTATGTCAAGGAACTGCTGTGTGTTACAAAAGCAGTGCTTATGTACTCTCGTAATACAAATCCAGATCTTCAGTGGTTGTTGTCACTGATAATTACTGACAACAGCAACAGTAATAATGTGCCTTTGCTGCTCACTGTGTAATTTACTGGCATCTAGACATTTCCATCCCTCTCCATTCCCTCTTTTTGTCCTAAGAGGATCCATGAAGTTGTAACACAGATTTTCTGCTTTTCTGAAACAGACTGTTTATAAGGGATGCCATTTCCATGGTTTTTATGGAGGTGCTATTCATATCCTAAAGCCAAAGTTTAGTTTCTTTTAAAACAGAATATATGAAGTTGCTATCCAGGGGTGCCCAAAGGCAGACAATGAAAAGCCACAGCAGCTGCAATTGTGTTTCTTCGGAAAAAGTGTCTGGCCTGCTGGAATGTGTTTATTATGAGAAGGGCCACTCGTAATGTATGGAGCATCAGCAAAAGGAAGACGGTGCTTAAAGTTCATCCTTTTAAGGAATGTTTCACCCTTTTTAAGGTCCTATTTTATCTCTTTCACAACACAAAGCAGAAAGCATCCTCTCTTTCTAGGTGATGTGTTCCTTGCACAAGTCAGGCTGTGGCTTTTCCATGAAACAGATACTGGCATGTCCATGTTTCCTCAGTCAAGATCGAGGGCAGTAATAAGTGTGCCCCAGGTCTGCTCCATCTGCTTCCCTGAGTTCCCTTCCCCCAGGGGAAGAGGCAGGCAGAAGAGGCAGTTTTGTGCATGGATCTTGTCATCCTCTGGTTCCAGGATGTGGCCATGGCCAGAGCTAACATCTGGACCTGGGCTGCAAATCAATTTAGGCGTGGCTTTAAAATCACCAAATCTGATGCCACACTAACTGTGACAAGATTTTATAGTTCTTTTGCTGTCTGCTGCAGCACAGGTTGCCACAGTTTAAGTCTAGCCTTCTTGGATGTTGTTTTACCAAATGTATCAAAGCTCGATAGATTTTGTAAACTGACAGATCCTTCTGCACAGAACTGCAGCTTCCAGAGAATGCCCCCAAGTACTGAAACACGGAACCTCTTCCAGTCCTGAAGGAGGTTGATTAGCAAGACAGTAACCCTGTTGAGATTGGAGCTGTTGTAAGGTCTCCTGTAGAGTTTATAATCACTGCAGGAATCCTGAACCTCATCTAACCCCATGCACTAATTTATAGCAGCTTCTTCAAAGTGTACTGGCTTCTCTGTCCAGCTGCAGGCACACACTTTGAGGATAGAGAAACTTTTAAGAGACCCTTTAATGTAAATAACTCCAGTAAGAGCAGGTTACAGATGTAATGTCAAAACATGAGAGAAAAGCCTTATTTCTTGATAGTAAAATTAAAAGGCAATTCCTTGTAAGTTTTGTATTGTTCGTGGAGGACATGATAGAAAACTTTGAAGTGGAAAATAAAAGCTAAGTACACAAATACCCTTTGTTCCGCCGTGCATGGAGCAGTTGCTGTGTGAGTTCCTGAGACATTGCCAAAGCAAACCTGTTCTCTTCCTTGCTAGAGCACAGGCTGGCTAAGCAAGATTACTTCAGTTCTGGGGTCCCCAGTACAGGAAGGATATCAGCCTCTTGGAGTAAGTCCAGAGGAGACAACCAAAGGTGATTAGAGGGGAGGAGCATCACTCCTGTGAGTGAAGGCTGAGACAACTGGAATTGTTCAGCCTGGAAAAGAGATGGCTTAGGGGTGACCTAATTACAGCCTTCCAGTACCTAAAGGAGGCTGACAAGAAGGAGGGAAAAATACTTTCCACAAGAACATGTAGATCAGATACTAGGAAGAAACTCTTTACTGAGAGTGTGGAGGCACTGTAACAGGTTGTCCAGATAAGCTGTGGATGTCCTATCCCTGGAGATGTTTAAGGCTAGGTTGGGTGAGGCCCTGAGAAACCTGGTCTCATGAAAGGTGTCCCTGCCCTTGTTAGGAGGGTTGGAACTGGAAGATCTGTAAGGTGCCTTCTGACCCAAACCATTCTATAATGAGTCTATGATTCTATGATAGTAATTTGGATGATTTCTGTTTGACTTTATTAGTGTGTGGAATTATGTATTTTGTTATTACTAGTGGAGTTTAAAGTAGACATTTATTTTACTGTAGTACCTTCAAAGAATGGGAGCAACAAGAGTCCTGCCTCTCCACTAAGTTAACTGTTGCAGCCAATACAGGATGCACTCTGAGAGTATTTGTTATGGATTTAAGAGGTAAGGGAGTGTGTTGAGTGCAGGCAGTTCTTGTGTTGAGTGCAGGCAGTTCTTGATTTGTAAGGTAAGTGGAGATTGATCTGGCTATTCTTACAGTCTTAGCTGTGATTTCCTAGAGCCGTGGTAGCTTTGTTGGAAGGAAACACACAGGCAAGCTGAGCTTTTGATTACTGAAGAGGTTCCTTGTGAATTCCCTGGATTTTTTTGTGTTGACATGAGCGGTGTCATTGAACTGGGTAGAGAGAGGCATAGTTCGAGTGTTTGGCCTGCAAACAGTGTTTGGCTGCAGAATACAAAGACAGCAGGAAGCTGGAGGAGAAACAGGAATGCAGAGAAAGGGCTGGAGAAAAATTGAGCCAGTTAACGCAGAAAAAGCCACTTCCTTTGAAATGGCATGGAGCAGTGGGGAGATAGGTTGGGGTCTGCAGTGGAGGACAGATATTTTCCTTCAGAGGCGATAGAAAAAGCCATTGGGAGGCAGTGAAAAACACAAACTCCAGCTGTGAACATCCGCCCCAGTGAAGGACAACTCTTCTTGGTGCCATGAACCTCCTGTGCAGGGAGATAAGCACCCACAGATGGCCTTGAAATAGGTTGTGACTCCTCATGGCCACAGGACATCCACTTACGAAAATTACATTTTAAGGGTGATGGCTTTGATAAGTGATTTACTTGACTCTCTCTACCCTGTGAATCTAATCAGAGTGTGTAAAGCACTGCACTTCTT